AGAAAGGTCATGTAGAGTTGGGAGAGGTCTCATTTTAATCAGAAATGTGCGGGCTACAATCATGCCTCATTAAGAACGGTTCGGGTTGTTTTTTGAGGTTTCTGAAAAACTCGTTTTCTAGAAAACCAGATCTTCGAAGGGCTATGCGGAAGCCGCATGGTCGTATTCGTAATCAGCATGGTCGATAACCTAACCCACTAGATTTCGAGCAAAAAGCGTTTAATCACTTCGTGGGGTTCCCTCGTTAGATCGAATACTACTAGAAATGCTCTGGAACAAAGTAATGGAGTTTTTTCCTAAAACTTTTAGTTTTTTTGAATTTTTGCATGAAAAGAAACGTATAGTTTTCGTCAAAAGTAAAAGTTGTTCAATCTATCATAAAACAGTGCGTTAAATTACGATCGAGAAAATCGTTTTTTCCAGAAAACAAAACCATGATTGTCAGTATGATGACTACAGAAACCATACACAGAGATCTAAGTGGTAAGTATGAGTTTAGAAATCAGAATAGAAAAAATTATAAGTAGTGATCATCATTGGACTCTTTGGAAATTATTCATACGTATTTATTTTATTATCTTTACTCGATTATCTGACCTTAGTTGTATTTTGTAAGTTGCATCTTCGACATCGATGTAGTAGATATATGGTCGTATAGTTTACTTTCTAAATCTAGATTCGACTGAAGTAGCTTTATCTAAATTTCGTTTATCTCTCTCTCTCATGGATTTAAGTGGTTTTCTCCTAGAGAACAGACGAAGAACAGGAGAAAGTGTTCTTAAAGAGTATGAAAAAAAGAGAAATATAAACGATAACGAGAAAGAATGGCCAGAGTACCGTTTCAACTTTAACTGTACGCACATGACAATATAAGTTCTAGATTTGTTCTATGTATTCTTCTTATCAATCAAAAGAAACGTCTAGATGTTATGAATATTAATTTAAATAAAAGTTTATTACGAAGATAAAGCAATTTCTATAATAATTTGCTACTGATTTATCCGAACTTCCTATTCCTATTTAATCAAACCCTATTAATCTAATGGTAAAATTGAACGAACTTCATTCTACGAAGCATAAATTTGTGGACATACAAAGAGCTAGAAAGGTGTCTGTTAACAAATTTCAGCAGTTAAAGACAGAAGAAATTGGGAAGACACAATGGTGATCGTGTCATCTATTAATCAAAAAAATTTTCATGTTTCGCACAGAGTAGACAGGTGAAATAATTTTTTTCTTTCTTTCCCTTGCAAATATATACTAGTAAAAGAACACCATATCTATTATCTATACATGCATATTTACTCATTCTATTTACAACAAAAACATAAAATATTAATTTACACGCAATGAGTGACCCAGTAGTTGCAGAATTATTAATATACCCAGTCAAGTCTTGTGCCGCTATTAAAGTGAACGAAGCTAAAACAACAAAATATGGTTTGTCACTAACAACAAATTCGCTGCTATCAGACAGGTAGGCTATGTTTATTAAAATTACAATGTGCGTAATATTGCAACATGCATTGAATACCTTAAATCTAGAAGAACTGTAAAATGAACCTTAGTGGTGTCGGAAATAATAACCATAGTTGTCGACTTTATAGTAGACTAATAGTTGTCGAAGAGCATTATATGATATGGAATTTCATAAAACAAAATCTGGAGTCATTCTTGACAGGTCGATTTTTTTCAAATTATTTTATCTTGTAGACGATGGATGGTTGTTAAAAACAGAAAACAACAAACTCTACGACAAATATCAAAAATGGCATTAATTCAACCTTCCTTTACAGGTGAAGGTTTAATTCTTAATGCTCCTGGCATGCCACGATTGCAACTATCATTGAAATCTTTACCAGACGAAATAATTGAAGTAGAATGTTGGGAAACTCCAATTCTTGGTCGTAAATATCCGGAAAATGTTTCACAATGGTTATCTGAATTTCTTGAAACACCAAATTTAGATTTAGTTTATTTTGATGATCAGTTTGAACCGAGATTATCCAAAGATGTTGAGAAAGAACCAAATGAATGTCGTCCAACTGATGTTGTTTCCTATCACGATATGAGTCCAGTTCATTTACTCACATATGAATCTGTGGATGATTTGAACAAACGGTTAGAAAATCCAGTTAAAGTATATAACTTTCGACCCAATATTGTTGTATCAAATACAAATGGAAAAGCGTATGATGAGGTTAAAAAAGATTTCTTGAAATGTTGTTCATTTTATAAACTAAAGGATAATGCTAAACTGGAAGAGAAACCCTTTGCTTGCGCGCTATTTTGCTAGCATTTCAAGCTTCTATTTCTCACAGATCTTTTTCAGAAAAATAAGGAAGAAAATGAACTTGACTTTCTTTGAATAAAAACGCTTTAGGATGAAATTGTTTCCGCCGAATTTTTTGAGTTCCGTTATATAGAATGCTAATCTGCTAAGTGGAAGTAAATTTCTTCGTAGTTTTCAGAATTCTTTGAACTTACAGAAAAAACTTTATTTTTTTGTCTATACTATCATCAAAAAGCATTATTCTGAATGCTGAGCCGAACTCTTGGTTTTGTGATCGACACTATGTATGCTGCATTATTTCATTTTTTTTAGGATTACTGGCGTCAAATTCAAATTGGCAGTGCAAAATTAATTTGGATTCGTCAATGTTTAAGGTAACAGAAATGAATTTAAATTTAATTAGAGAAAACAATCTCTCGTTTCAATAACACAAATTATTTTATCTGGACGACGAATATTTAGAACAATCATTTCATTTCACTTCATTCTTAGAGCATGAAGATTTCTATGCGTGCATTTTTCTATGTATAATATCATTCTTATATTTTCAGATGTCTCTTACCCACTGTAAACCCAGAAAATGGAATAAGAGATCCATCAACAGAACCCTGGAAAACGTTAAAGAAGTACGAATACTCATTATCAGTTGCAAAACGCACATCAAGCTTTTTCTTTTAAATCGATTCTTCTTTTTTAGATACCGACTCAAAAAAGAACTTTATGGAGTCCAGTGTCAATTTGGAACTTATTTAGGCGTAGAAGAAGATGGAATACTGCATGTTGGTGATGAAATAAAAATATTAAGAGAAGATAAAAATTTTTAGTTTCATTTTTTGAATAAAATACAGAGAGGTTGCTCTATCGTTTTATTGCCAATTCAAAGACCAACAACGGGTGCTGACATTTGACTACAAATTTATTCTAACAGCAAAACTTGATAAAGCAGATCAGAGCATGATTTATAGAAGCAGGCATAAATGTGTAAACTATGCGCCACTTAACTACGGAACTTAGAAATTTTTTTAGAAATTTCAGCTGTTTCCCCAACTACCTTTAATAGTAAACAGAAACCGAAATAGGTCTGTGTGAGGAACCTATACTTCTTCTAGTTATAAGTCCTTGAGTTGATTGTATGCTTGCGTTAAGATATGTAGTATCACTCTTTTATTCGACTACTCTTTATCACAAAGTACAAAAAACTAACTTCACACTAGAAAAATACTACTGTATGCAGAAAAGAAAAGAACCAATAAAGAACAAAGCGAGGAAAGAACAAAAACAGACAAAGAATAGAACAGAACAAAAGAGAGCAGCCCTACCGAAAGAAGTACATACAGGACAGAGAGGTTGTGACAAAGGATTGTCACATACCCCCCCAGCGAGATCCGAGTGCCCTCACGCGTAGGAGTAAAAGAAAAACATACGCGCAGAATGATGGAGTTAATGTTTTAATCGAACGAGATGATTTCGGACGTAGTGCATGATGATCAGTGAGGTGAAGGGGCTGCGGAGACGCTAGAGTTCGGTGGTGGAGTGCGCGACGTGGTAAGAAGATGGAGGATGCGGCGGTGAATCGTCATACAGTCGGCGGTGACGTCAAGGAGAAGATCGCATGAACGGCGAATGCGTGGCGAGGAATCCTGGTGCGGAGAAAACGGTGGTGCCAAATATGCGTCTGTAACACCTTGCTGTAGGTGTAGAACAGATTGAGCGAGATGCGTGAAGGTAGCGAGAAACGAAATAGTAAATATAAGTTCGCCTTTAAATAAAGCTTTAATACTAAACTAAAACCGAAATAGGGCGGGTACAGTCCGGTAGTGTGGGGCTCGAGTGAATGTAAACGATATTGAATCTGGTAGGGTCGAGTCAACTAACATTAAGGTCATTTTGGGTGATCCGAACCCGGGGTGACCGGTTTCCATCCGAACTCAGATTAATATAAGAAAATTGCCTGAACTATCTAAGCTTTTCCACTCGCAAAAGCAAAAAAACTCCAGGAACAGTAACAGTTTGAACTAACAATGAAATAAATTCCGTAACGAACAGCCTAAAAACAATCCGATAAATCGTTTGAATCTTTTCTTTACTAATCTGTTTGTTCCAGGGGCGGTCAATTAATTTAAAAATTGGATTCTAGCAAAAATATCGCGAGACAAGCGAAAGAGTTAAGAAACTTCTGTTTTCTGATCCCAATACAAAACAACCGACACAAATCAGCTCATCTGTCAGAGCATCGCTGTTGTCGGTTTCTACGACATTGAGATTTAAGTGTTATGAAATATCAGCTTTTTCTAAACTTTTCCGCTACCACATAAGATAATACCGGTAGGACACCAACCAGAAGCGCAAAAATCTCATTAAAGTAGTCATGAAATGTGGTATGTTATTATTTATGAAGAGAAATTAGGAAGAATTCAATCGGGGGTGTAGCTCATATGG